AAGGCTGGTCTCGGTCTCTCTCTCCCCTCCCCCCTTCCCCCCACCCCCTCTCTCACACACACCCATCACTAGAAATCCCTTTTTCCCGCTTAGGAGAGGTCCTTCAGGGTGGACCACCTTCATCAGCTTCCCCTGACCACAGCACACCATAATGTTGTTTCTCTAAACACCTGGCATTAGAGTCTCTATGACTCACTCGATAACTTCAATAACAACAGAAGACAATTTTGTGTTGTCTCCCAGTGAGCGTCAAAGGCAGCTCAGGCAGGTGGAGGGTGTTACATCTGCCTTGCCCTCCCCTCCACCCAGCAGGCCGAGAATACTGTTATAATGCAAGGCATCGTGAAATTTACCAACCATTACAGAAGACTATGAGCTCCTAGAAATAACAATTCACCCATTTACTGACTAATATAACATTCCAGAAGCTGTTGGCAAAAGAAAAACTTTTTAGTTTGGGAAGTCAATTTTTAAAAAAAATCTTCCATTACTCTTAGGTTATCAGAGGTAGTCTTAACTGGCTTCTAGATTGGTCCCCAATACTGGGTTTCAGGAGAGAAAAACAGCTGAGACAGACTAGCTTGGAGAAGCCAACGACTGTAGCCAATAGTATCCCAACTGGTTAGTACAGACCACAAGTACAGGAATATTAACATTGGCGCTTTCTGTAAAGGCCAGACTGTTTCTCAAAGGTGAGAAGGCAGGGAGGAGCAAAGGGTACCAAAAGGACAAAAGGAGAATGGCGGCAAAATGAGAAACTGTGAAGATAGCAGCCCGGCCGGTGTGGCTCAGTGGCTGAGCATCAACCCATGCACCAAGAGGTCACCAGTTCAATTCCTGGTCAGGGCACATGCCCAGGTTGTGGGCCCAATCCCCAGTGGGGGGCATGCAGGAGGCAGCCAATCAATGTTCTCTTGTCAATGTTTTTCTCTCTCTCTCTCCTTCTCCCTTCCTCTCTCTAAAATCAATTTTTTAAAAAAAGAAAAAGAAACTGCGACGATAGCAGTGGAAATAGCGGGACGAAAGGGTGGGTGTTTCTCTGTAATATAAATGTTAAGTAAACACAAAGATGGAGAAACAAAAGTCAGACCAGCTTCGGAGGCTGGAGGGAGACAAAGCATAGTCACTCTCTGCTTACAGAACGGGGGAACACCAGTAGCCTAGGTCCTTTCCAGACATCAGGGCTCTGTGATGGTCTTCAGGTGGGGACCCAGCCCTTTGATTCCATCAGGCTCTGCTGCCAGGAATCAGAAACTTGGAGTCAAGGATGCTTAGGTGGTGAAACTCCTATCTCTTGAGTGTAACTACTGCTATGATAACACACCAAAAAAAAAACACTTCTTCATATCTTTGGAATAATGTGTTGTTTTTTCCCCACAATGACATTGAAACAAATTATTCAATGTGGTAGCTTTCTAAATCTGATTAATGTTATTCAGGGACTCCTACAAACTGTTTGCCATTTATTACACTTGCTAATTAGGAGCTGTAAGGTCTTTATCTTTCCCAACTTACAGGCATAGCCCAGGATAGAGCTTTGCTAAAAGCAGGACTCCTGGCTAATCCTGTTAATGAGTTTAGCACTGCCAAAATGTCAGTGGTTTTTCATTTGGTCAGAAAGGGCCTAATTTATCTAGTTTGCTGCCCTCGGTAATTTTCATAGAAATGTCAGAGCAGCAATCAGCAGAAATGCATGGCAATAAAGATGATTACTGGAAGGGTAGCAGGAACACCCCACTGACAGACTGCTTTGATTTTTCTTTCCCCACTGAAAGATTTAGCTCAGAGATAAGGCAGCAGACTACACAGAGCTCAATCCAAATCATACGCACATGTTTTGCCTGAAATACAATTACACTTTTGAAATGGAGAGACATAGGAAGCATCACTGTAGAAGGAAGAGAGCATAAGAACATGTTTCAGGGGAAGAGATGGGAAGAGCAGGATTGTTTTAACAAAACTTGCTTTCATTCACAATGCATTTCAGGATGCTAAAGGAAAGGGTACCTGAAGGAGACAGATCCCGATTGCGTTCATCACTTCTGCACTACAAAAATAATACTCAGACTTATTCAACAAGAAGTAAAAACAGACTCTTTCTTTAGCAATTTCAATGTATCCTTTAAATAAGCATAAGTAGTAACAAATGTAATCATTCTAAGAGTCAGTAATAGATAACAGGGCTGTTTACCTTTAGGTCATGGCTGCCCAGATGTCTGAACAGGGAAGGCATTCACTTAAGCTAATTGCCACGGAACCCGGGGAGAAAGCTTATGCATGTGATTTGATGACTTAGCCTTTCACTGATAGAATTTCCAATTTTACCATGGGGACACATCAAATTCATTCAGATTATTATGAAAAAAGATAATGATACGAAATGAAGAACAAAGAAAATAAAGCACTCAGTCTAGTCCTTCAACAGTAGACCTCATATGGAATAAAAATCCCAGGCTCCCAACACATCATTCTATCCAATTTTTTGTACCTACCCCACTCTCCCTGACTCCCTATGTCCACACAATGGGATGCTACAGCAATGCGCCATGTTTTCTGGGATGCTACAGCAATGTGGCATGTTTTCTGGGATGCTACAGCAATGCAGCATGTTTGCTGGGATGCTACAGCAATGCGGCATGTTTTCTGATGCAAGGCCCATTGCAACTTGTCAGCTTACATGATAAAGCAGAGACTATAGTAACAAGGCCTCTGTCTAGAAAGTTGAGAAAGGGAAATCTCGGAACCAAATTCCATGAGACCAAAGCTACATCCCTAACTTTCATGCATGTTATCCTCCCAGGAGCTCAATGTCTTTGCTCTTTAAATTGAAGGGCCCAAATTCTATCAATATAAATGTTAGGTAAACCTTTGACATAAAGATGACTATTTCACTTCACTCCATAAATTTTCCTGCAAAAAATAAACAAATAAACAAAGATGGCATATATGAGTTTTACTCAAGGAGAGATTAAATTAGGCTAACAGTTTAAGGATAAAAATATTTGCTTCATTAAATTTTCGATCCATTAGTCTAGTTTAAGCAATTTAACCAAGGCATCGCTTGTAGCAGTACTACTTAAAATTGGACCCTTATATGGTTAAGCATGCTTAAGATAATGAAAAGAAGTATTTTTATCTAAGAGGCCTTTGTTTACATTTCCAAGCACAGGCAAAGATGTAATGCTGTTGACTGGGTACTGTGGATTCTTACAGCCTTGGGAAATGCTTTGCTTTCCCTTGACTCAGTTTCCCCATCACTAAGAATGGCAAAGTCATTACCTCTTCTACCAACTACCCAGAACATTAGATGCGCAAATTATTAGTAAGTGCTAAGCACTATATACACAGTGAGGGTCTCCAGGCTCAAACCTTAAACAAAACAGACAAACCCACAGAAAGGAGACCTAGTTGATAAAGAAAAAAGAAAAGGAAGAAAGAAAAGGGTTTCTTATGATCAGTCAACCTGGATTTAATTCCCTCTGTGAAATTAGAAACAAAACTTGCCATCTACATTGGAAATAAGGTAACCAACCAGCCCAGTTTGTTTAGGACTATCAGAGTTGTTGTTTTTCAAATACTTTTTAAAATTGATTTTTTAAAGAGAGAGGAAGGGCAGAGAGAGAGAGAAACATCAGAGAGAGAAACATTGATCAGCTGCCTCCTGCACGCCCCCTACTGGGGATCAAGCCTGCAACCTGGACACATGCCCTGACCGGGAATCGAACCGGGACCTCTCAGTCCATGGGACAACACTCAGCCACTGAGCCACACTGGCCGGCAGGATTATCAGAGTTTTTACACTAAAATTTCTGGGTAAATGGAGAGAGTTGGTTATCTTAACAGAAATTCAAATGAGTAGAATATTTGTATAATCAAAAATGACTGACCAACCTAACAAATATAGTTACTTTAAATTCAATACTCTGTATTAAAAAAATTGGAGCTTGACTAGCTTTAGCTTGGTTATATTTTCTCTTTTTCTTGATTCCCCCCCCTCCCCCAAGTTTCACCAAAGGGAACTGCCACTTTGTGACCTTGGGCGAGCTATTTAACCTCTGTTTCAAGTTCCACATCATAGTAAGCACAACAGTAAGCTCTCGAATGGGAGCCAGCACCATCGTCTCTTTACTGCTGTAAGACTCGTGGCATGACCACATTTGTTCTGCTAGTGACTTTTAAATATCACCCATCATCTCTATAAATACTGTGGGTTTTCTTTCTTTTTAATCTCAGAAGAGCCTACAAGTACAATCAGGTTGATATCCTTTTCCTTAATTCTTTTCCCTGACAGACCTACATAAAAAATAGAGAAGCAATTTAATTTCTTCAATTTAAAATCAGGCTCTACCACACTCATTTTAGCATAACCAAGTGTTAGAAAATTCTTTTTAATGATAAAATATAATTATGTCTTTCTTGATAATTTATAATTACCAGGATATGCTTGTCCATGTTAGATTATGTTCCCCTTTCCAAAAGCTAACCTAGAAATAGGAATAAGCTTATTAGAATTCTAGCAACACCAGTAACAAAATATAATTAGCTTCTTGGAATTTATGAGCCTATTCTTTCAACAAAATACAGTAATTATTCTTTAAAAATGAACACAATAATGCAAGGATTGCGAAGAAACACTCCAGTGAATGAACTAAGGGACATTACTCTCCCATCATATCTGAGTAGGCTCCTGTTACTTTGTTGTCCTATATTCATTTGAATTTTCAATCTCCAGCTAATAAAACCACTGACTATCAAGTTCGTAGGCAGCACAGAATCAGAAAAATGCAATAGTGTTGATAAGGTGGCCGCGGATTCTAGGGACTGCCCAGCAACAGGGGCCATAGAATGAGGCAAGGAACAGTTTAAAGAAGTTACTATTACTATTTCACCAATGTGAGAACGTTAATGAAATAAGGAGAGAGGACTATTAGTCCCATGACAATAGAAAGGAAAATAAAAGAGCCTCTTACCCTTAACGAACACATTTATGAGAACCGTACCTGAGAGGCGAGGGCGACACTGGACACATTTTTGGAGTGGAAAGAGAAAAGCTGCATTTCCTCCAAAGCAGGAAACTGACTCATTGCCAATTACTGAATGGATGCATAGCTCCTAGCAAACAGTAGGAACGCCACGAATGTGTATCCTCTTCCCTTCTGGCAGAGTTCCATCATCAGCTGCAGCACATTCTAGGAGGGGATCAGAGGGTTCGACTTGCTTGGGGTTTTCTAAAAGCCGCCTGCAGGGAAAGTGCTGTGGGTGAGCAGGGAGATCTTAGGATGTTTATATAAAGCTGAGAGGAGGGGGTTCTGGGCTCTATTCTGAGCCATGCCTTCAGTATGCATAGTCTTTCTCAACTGGATCCTCTGTATTTTCCTATACTGTAGTAAGTATTACAGAGAAACAGCAGAGGAATACATAACACTCCCAGCCATGGATGGTGCTTATAAGCCTGTAGAGGAGGAAAAACTTAGGCCTGAGAAACGGGAGGAGGACATGTTTCACAGCACTTAACGTGTGCACGCAGAGATGAAGAGCCGTAGGGTTTCCAGTAAAGAGGGGTGAGTGCAGGCATGTGGTAAAGCCAAGCAGAGTCAGCAGGCCCAAGGAAGGGCATTTTCAGGATTTAACCGGATTAAGGAAAGAAATGCAAATAATGCTATGCAAATGCCTATGGTAATAAAGATCGTCCATAATAATAAACTGGATGATGAAAGAAACCCTGAGTAATATCAAGGGTGGATAGGTTAATAGGCCCTTCCTCCATGAAATATGCTCTGCTCTGTTTCCTTTCTTCATCCTTCAGTTCTGCTGACCATGTTAGGGCCCTAAATTCCACTCTTAGTTATGGGCTGCTTTCTGTCCCAGCGACATGCAGAGGAAGAGAGAGTTTCACCTCTGCACAGAGAAAAGTCAGGTTCTCCAGCACACACAAATTGCTGAACATTGTACACCCACCAGCCATCAGAAGTAAGGTGGGACACTTCCAGAAGGTCAGTGAAGGTCAACAGGGACTTACTTCAGTCATGCTATCAGACAAGATGTCCTTCCTGTGATGGCCTCGATGCTTGTTGCAGTGTGTAGCAGTAGTTAGAGCAGAGCATAGATCAGACACTAGACTTTAGAAACTGGTCGATTCCTTCTTCTACTATGCTAAGGATGGTATAATTCTTAGCAGACCAGGATCCCCTTAGGATAGGGGGAAACCAGTACAGAAGCAACTGTACTAAGCGGGGATCATTTAAATTGAACAAAAGATGCTTTGAAGGCTGATGACAGTGAGGCCAGCACGCTGAAAGCTATTTGCAATCATTCAATCAGTCAAGTTTCTACTACGGTCCTTTGATGGGCCTACTACTGGGCTATCGGAATCTCTAAGTATAAAGGCTTTCATCACCCAAGTTCCCCAAGTCAACTTTTTCTATTTTCACAAATACTCATTTCTGAATGAATGGTATGCCTTAGGCTTGAGCAAATATATTTGCATTCAATGACATTTCTGGGTAGGAAACCAGGCTCTGACACCTCCCACTCACCCTGTCTATCTTCTCAGCTTGACTTTCAGCGTGCCAGAGAAGCGGGGGAAGGGGTACAGAGGGAAGGCCAGCTTGCAGATGGCTTCACTCACATGGCCTGCAGCCTTCCCTTCCCTTCCTAAAAGCAGCCAAGACCTAAGACCATCCTAGCAACCAAAGCCTTCAGCCAGTAGGTCATCCAGGGTGGGCTATTGGGTTAATGAGCTCCTTAAAAGAAACAAAACAAAAAACTGCAAAACACCCTGAAGCTATAAGGAGGCCCTCCTCCATTCTGCTAAAATAGTTACTCTGATTCCAGGAGCTAAATTGATTACACAGCACAGTCTGCCAAGCAAGTAGGTTAAATGTTGCTCTAGAATAGCATTTTGGTCATATCCACTTTAAACAAAAATTAAATGGAGCCTTTAACTGAAGACTTGTACTTAGCAACATAGTTCAATTTAGGGATTTCCAAGTAATAATTTTGTTGTTATTTATAGGAAGTCACCATTAAAACAGAGAAACACTAGCAATTCATAATGGTAATACTCTTTGGCCAAAAAATAAAATTCAACAGCCCTTATGATTAAAAAGGGCTCCACTGAGCCCAAGTTTTAAGCTTCCTACAATTAGATTTGTTCACAGAAGATTTTGTGACAACAGACTAGCATCAGATCATGCAGAGACAGGTAAGTACCAATGACATATGATGAGGGAGTAATACATTTTTAGATGTTCAAGTGAAATACCCTTTTTTTGTGTTGTTATTGATTTTAGTCAGAGAGGAAGGGAGAGGCAGAGAGAGATAGAAACATCGATGAGAGAGAACATCAATTGGCTGCCTCCTACATGCCCCGCACTGGGGATTTGGCCCACAACCTGGGCATGTACCCTGGCTGGGAATCAAACTGGTGACCTCTTGGTGCACGGGATGATGCCCAACCCACTGAGCCACACTGACAAGGCTGAAATACCCTTTTTAAAAAATCATTTAAAATTGGTTTCACTTGGTAGTTAAAAAAAGGGGGGGGGCAGCTAACTCACCTTCCCCATCCCTCACACCCACAGATCACAATGTCAAAGCCACAGTGGCCACAGTTATGCTGGCCCCAAAAGGTAACCAGTATAAAACTGTGTGGCGGCCCAAGCTGGCTCTGGAAACTGGTGCCCTGCCTTACTGGTTTCTCTGCCCTCCTTCCCTGGTGCCATGTAAACACCTGGCAACAATTCTTCACCATTTTTAAGGCATTCTTTTTCTTCTTTAAATATGTTTTTATTGACTTTTAGATGGGGGGGGGGGGGAGGAGAGAGAGAGGGAGAGAGAGAGAAACACCGATGAGAGAAAAACACCTCCTGCACACCCTGCTACTGGAATTGAGCCTGAAACCCGGCTCGGGAATCGAAGAGAAGACCTCTTGGTGCATGGGACGATGCCCAACCCACTGAGCCACACTGGTTGGGCTTAAAGGCGTTCTTAAATAAGCAACAGGCAGAAGACTGAGCAAGCAGGATTAGGTGGAACAGATGGTCCCCATTTATTACAGCCTGTGCATTTGGTTTTTTAAACTGACCTTTTTAGTCTTTGGACTATTTTACAAAGACAACACCAGGGCCTCAAGGTACCCTTGTTTTTTCTTAACATCAGACACCAACTTGCACAATAAATACACTGCTCAGCTTCTGTATTTACACATATCCCCTCACCTGCCAAGATATAAGAAAACACGTTATACAGGTGTGTTACTTATATGAACAAAGATTAACAACCTAAATATTTATTCAATAGTTAATTGTATTTTATGATATGTAATATGAACTTTCAGAGTTATTAAAACTTAAGTTTTTAAAAAGAAAATATATCAAGGAAAACTTGAGAAAAAGTAAGCTATACTATACAAAACCCAAGTATGATACCTTTAAAGAAATATTAAAAACTAAAAAAACATATTGAAATATTAGCTGAAAATATGTTATAAGATTTTTGGAAGTTTACTCATTTATTTTTCAGATTCTGTGTGTACATGCATTACTTATATGGTCACACCTATGTGTGCCTTACCCCTTTCCCTGCTTTCTGAGGAGGAATTAAAGGTAGAAATGCTGGTTTGAAGTGGTGAAATAATCAGATTTTTCTTTTTTTTTTCCAATCCTCATCTGAGGATATTTTTCCATTTATTTTCACATAGAGTGGGAGGGAGGAGGAGAAAGAGAGAAAGAGACAGAGACAGACAGACAATGTGAGAGAGGCACATCGACTGGTTGCCTCCCGCATGACCCCAGGGCCAGGGACCGAGCTGCAATCAAGGTATGTGCTTTGATTGAAATCGAATCCGCGACTGTTTGGTCCTCAGGTCAATGCTCTAACCACTGAGCAAAACCAGCCAGAGCCGGATTTTTCTTAAAAAGTTAAAGAACTATGACTTAAAAAGCCAATCAGGGAAAGACAAATACCACATGATCTCACTTATTTATAGAGTATAATGAACAGAAAATGCTGATGAACAAAACAGACCTAGAGACATAGAAAGGAGTATGGTTCAGACTGACAAACTTCAGAGGAGGGGGGCGAGGGGAGGGATGCGATAAACCAAAGAACTTATATGCACATATGTGTAACCAATGGACATAGACAACAATGCTTGCAGGGTGGGGGTGGGGGGCGGGATACGGAGGAGGGTGTGGGGGGGGGGGAGGGAGAAACATCTGTAACAAAAATAAAGAAATAAAAGAAATAAAGTTAAAAATAAAAATTAAAAATTAATAAAAATTAAAATAAAATAAAAAAGCACAACTGGTGTCAGTTAAATGGCAGATCTGCGCCATAAACATGTGTGTACATTATACACACATAAAATGCTGGAAGGCGGTGACTGTGGTCTTTGATCTGCACTCCAGGACACAGCACCATTTGGCTGCTTCACACTGCTCCTTCTTTATGTGGTCCATGAGGCACAGGCATCCATGGGGAGGGGCTGGAATGAGTATGACATCAGCCGTCAAGAAATCTGCACTGTGCGTGAACAGCCTGAGGACCAGACATTCCCGATCCTGGCCTCTTTCGGAGCCTTACCATTCCGTAGCCAGCTGCACATTCCCACTAAGCTGACCACAGGCATCTCCAAGCCAGCATGCCCAATCCAGACTCATTGTTGCCCACAAACTGGATTTTACATGAAACCTAATCTCACCTATCAGCACAACCCTCTCAGAAACCTGGACATTATCCCCAAGGCCTCTTCTTCCCTGCAACCTATCAACCCACTCACCAACCCCAGGTCCTAACAGATGCCAGCTCCAGAGGCCATTGACTATATGGTCCCAGAAGGCCATGGGTATCTTGCAAACAGCAGGAACTTCTGGATTCAGACCCATTTAAACTTGGCCCTGTCAACTACTAAATGTGTGACCTTGGGCAAAACCCTTAACCTGCCTGAGCTTCCTTTCCCTCACTACTCAGTACCTCTAAAGATAGGACCCCTTAGTCCCGTAGAACTATTGCAAGGTTTAAATGAAGGTCATTCATTTACAAGGAAATGCTGAGTGATCAGCGGTGAACAGCAGCCGCTCCAGGAGGACACACCAAGTCTGTAGGCCTGGACAATGCATTAAGTGCTATACCACAGAATGGCCAATGTCATTGGGGCATATGAGAGAGGATGAATCTGGACCAGAGTGGGGAGGTCAGGAGACATTTTAGGGGGAACTAACACTTAAACTAAGTCCCATGAGATGAGCAGGAGGTAGATTAGCAATGGCTGAGGATACGGGTATCATTCCAGCAGAGAGAGGAACAGCAAATGTGATGTTCTGAGGTCAAGAGACAAATAGGCACTTGAAGGTGATGATAGCAGTTGAGCTGGCTGGAGACCAGAATGAGGGTGAGAAGCGGTCAGAGGCACAGCTGGTGAGGGCAGCAGCGGCCATGGGTTTAGGTACCCTAACGTGAAGGGTGTTAAGCAGGCAAATACATACAAAATGCATGCAAAGTGCTCAGGCCTGGGAGGGCTGCCCGAGTACTGCAACTGCCTTCACCGTCACCACTCTAGTCTGGTTTGTGCTGTCCAGAAATGTATGACCCAGCATGTTTTTTCTTAAGTTGGCCTCTTCCTATTAATTATTAATATGTTAGAGTATTTTTTTAAAAGCAAGTTAAAATTGTTCTTCACTTGACTTGGTGAATTCAAGGCGGAAATATAAAGGCAATAGCCCATCAGTCTTCACCTGGGCTCCTTGATAGTTGGAAGAGCAATACAAAGGTTAATTTCTTATCTAAGTCATAAACCTCGGAACTCTCCACATAACTGATCACGCTAACTTCTCAATTCCAACTGCTGTGCTTAGTATAAGACACCGCACATCAGCCTCCTCATTTCGGGGCACAGGATGTGCCCCTCTTCCCATCCAGCCCAGGTAAGTGCCACTGGCTCAGGGCACTTAGAGTCACCTGGAGTATCACGGTCTGATTGCTTTGCTGAAAACTCAAATTGTACCACTGAGGAATACTGCAGTCATATTTTGAATGACATCTACCCAGTAACTCCAGGCCTCATTGGAATCCCTTATTAGCTCCATACAGTAACCTATGAACACTAATATTTGTAAAAACCTAAATTAGTGAAAAGAATTAAGATCTTTATCATTTCCACTGAATTAAGAAATCATGCATTGAGAAATTAACATATTTCTGTCCCTTGCAAATGATTACTAAAGCTTAATTGCAGGGACTTCCCTACCTTTGTGAGAAAGGACGACTTTTCATAAGTAGGGCACATTACATATAAAATTATTCTCCACACCCTTATCCTTAATTCCACATATTCATTATTTCTAATTTGGAAAGCAACCCTGATAAGGCTAGAGGCATTAGGCTACATTCTCACGAGTTCTAACAATTTTTACTATAGATTAATCAGACTGTCAACGGACAACAGTAATTTCTAACAGAATGCTTTTGAATATCAGAACTATAATTGTGCATCATTAAACAACCAGAGTTTTGTTGTACTGAAGGCACCATGTTTTAAAAAGTATAGATTTATCCTTTGATACACATGAAAGGAATAATTGCAAGGCAAAGCAGAAGTGATTTTGTATCATATTGCTTCACTTGAAATATTTCAACAGAACATTAGCATTCGCATCCTTTTTATTTATCATTTCTAATACAATAACACACCCTAATTCCAGCTCCCAGAGCTACTCCACCATCCCTGGAGGAGAACCTGCTCCCAAACAGCCTCCACTCTGATCACCTGTCTTCCTCAGGGGGAATACCCAGCCGTTTGCTACCCCCCCCATTCTTATTTTCCTTTTTTCTTCCTTTTATTATTCTTAACTGCCAGGTCCCCTGTCAACCACCCTGCAAGGACGTGCTCTGAGAAGAAAACACTTTTCTGGCCACTGACCACCCCCCACCAGCTGAGCTTCTAAGACAGAGAAAAACATAAGCTGATCCCATTATCAAGCACTAAGGGGTAAGTCAGGGGGGAGAGGAGTGTCGCCCACCCCGGCTGTGTTCGGTACACGCGCTGCCCAACTGGGAGGTGAGAAAGGCCTCTGGAGAAGGCGACATGCTGTGGGACCTGACATGAGCTGGCATCCTTGCGCAAAGGAGTAACGCTGAGGGAAGAAGGACTGACTTGAGTTTTGTTTTGTTTTTTTATCCCAAGAGGGCAAGAGAAAAGAGAAGAAAGAAGTTTTTACATAAGACCTGTACTTCTCCTTTTACCTGTTGAATAGTCAAATTGAGTTGGAGATAAAGATCTGTGAGGCAACCTCTTAGAGATGGTAGTTTAAGCCATGGGAACCTGCGACATCACTGCAGGAGTGTCCATGGAGAGGAGCCGGAGCTGGAAGTCAAGGGGTCCCGAACTTCACAACCAAAAAGTGAGATGTTAGAGCCTGAGGTCTATGACTGTTTGGTTCTTTCCCATTGCCCTCAGGTACACACTCCTCAGCAAAAGACCAAACTAACAACTTCAAAACACGAAAGGGAATATTCCACCACTTCCTGCTATTAGAGGAAACCTCGATAAGGTCCCAGAGGCTTTAATAAAACACTTTCAAATGAAAACATTAGCTGTAAACAGAAACTGGGATGGCCTTCACTGCTGTGGGCACATCCCAAGTCCTCTCAAACCCATTTATCAAAGCTCCTCTCTCACCTCCAGCTGGGGTGTCTCCTCCACCATCACTGCTGCTTCCAAGCAAAGCTCCCCCTGGCGTAGCTGCAGCCTTCGTCCTATAACAGATCACAGCTGGGATGGGAATTCACAAGGCAGTGCATCACTGATAAAACTCATCTCCGGGAGAAAGTTACTCATTACATGAACATGGTCTCTTCTCTGCATGGTCCTTACCCTGGGCAGGGGCAGGGAGGGTCTGCTGTGCCCTCCCTCTCTCGTGTTATGCCTCAACCAGGACGGCCATCCTACAGTCAGTTTCTGGGCACAAGAAGACCTGACAATACCACAGCCAGGGCAAAATTACAACGAAATTAACAAAAATAATAAAACTAATAGAAATTTAAAAGCAAATTAGTATTGCCACTTGTTAGCTCATTAACATTCTGGCTCTGTGAATCCAAAAGAATGAAATACCCATCTTTCTTTTCTAAGATGTAGCAGTATCTGGAGGAACCTTTTCCCAGGTAATGTACTTTTGGCATTTAAGTTCCAGAGTGAAAACCATCA